GATATGATTCTTGTATTCCTACCCTATCCAAGACCTTTATCATAAAGTGGTGTTGAATTTTGTCAAATGCTTTTTCAGCATCTAATGAGACAATCATATGTTTTTTTTTCAGTTTATTTATATGATGAATTACATTGATAGATTTTCGTATGTTGAACCAGCCCTGCATTTCTGGGATAAAGCCTACTTGATCATAATGAATATTTTTTGATGTTTTCTTGGATTTGGTTTGCCAGTATTTTATTGAGAATTTTTGCATCAATGTTCATGAGCGAGATTGGTCTGTAATTCTCTATCTTGGTTGAGTCTTTGTGTGGTTTTGGTTTCAGGGTCACTGTAGCTTCATAAAAGAATTTGGCAATGACTCTTCTGTTTCTATTATGTGAAATACTTTAAGGAGTATAGGTATCAGCTCTCCTGTAAAAGAATGAAAATAGATCCGTATCTATCACCATGCACAAAACTCAAGTCCAAATGGATTAAAGACCTCAATATAAATCCAACCACACTGAACTGATAGAAAAAAAAGTGGGAAGTAGACTGCAACACTTGAGCACAGGAGACCACCTCCTACGTGTAACCCCAGTAGCACAGACAACAAGAACAACAGTGAATAAATGGGACCTAAAACAAAGGACACAGTCATAAAGACAAAAAGGCATCCTACTGAATGTGGGAAGATTTTCACCAACCCCGTATCAGACAAAGGTCTGATCTCCAAAATATATAAAGAACTCAAGAAACTGGACATGAAAATTCTGATTAACTCAGTTAAAAAATGGGGTACTGAACGGAAAAGAGAATTCTCAGCAGATGAATTTCGACTGGCCAAAAGACACTTAAGGTCATGTTCAGCCTCCTTAACCATTAGGGAAATGCAAATCAAAACAACTTCGAGATACCGTCTTACACCTGTCAGAATAGCCAAACTCAAAAACACCAATAATAGTCTATGCTGGAGAGGATGTGGAGTAACGGGAACACTCTTCCATTGCTGATGGGAATGCAAACTTGTGCAACCACTTTGGAAATCAGTGTGGCGGTTTCTCAGGAAATTCGGAATCAACCTACCTCAGGATCCAGCAATACCACTCTTGGGAATAAACCCAAGAGATGCCCAATCATACTACAAAAGCATTTGTTCAACTATGTTCATAGCAGCATTATTTGTAATCGCCAGATCCTGGAAACAACCTAGATGCCCCTCAATGTAAGAATGGATAAAGAAAGTGTGAAATATATACACATTAGAGTACTACTCAGCGGTCAAAAATAATGACATTTTGAATTTTGCATGCAAATAGATGGAAATAGAAAACACTATCCTGAGTGAGATAACCCAGACCCAAAAAGATGAATATGGTATGTACTCACTCATTAGTGGACTCTAGCCATAAACAAAGGTCAATAAGCCTAGAGAAGCCAAATAACAAGGTGAACCCAATGAAAAACATATATAGATCCTCTTGGAAATTGGAAGCAAACAAGATTGCTGGGCAAAAGTTGGGAGCATGGGGTAGGGGTGGGCTTTGGGGAAGGGGAGAGGGGGAGAGAGAAGGGCAAAGGGAAAGACTGGAGAGAGCTTGGGGGAGTAGGAGGGTGGAGATGGGGGAAGGGCGAATATAGGAGCAGGGAAGAAGTTATCTACATTAAGGGAGTCATTTTAGGGTTGGCAAGAGACTTGGCTCTAGAGGGGATCCCAGGTGTCCACGGTGATGTCCCCAGCTAGGTCCTTGGGCAGCAGAGTAGACGGTGCCTGAATTTTCCTTGCCCCACTAACACACTGATGATTATCTCGAGTATCACCATAGAATCTTCATCCGGCAACGAATGGAGATAGAGACAAAGTCCCTCATCAGAGCAACAGACTGAGCTTCCAAGGTCCAATTGAAGAGCGGAAGGAGGGAGAAGATGAGAAAGGAAGTCTGGACCGTGATGGGCTGGTCTACCCACTGAGACAGTGTTCCTGTTCTAATGGGAGCTCACCAAATCCAGCTGGACGGGGACTGAATGAGCATGTGACCAAACCGGACTCTCTGAATGTGGCTGAAATGGGGGGCTGACTGAGAAGCCATTGATAAAGAACCTTCATCTGGTGATGGACGGAGATAGAGACCCACATTGGAGCACTGGACTGAGCTCCCAAGGCCCAGAAGAAGAGCAGAAGGAGGGAGAACATGAGCAAGGAAGTCAGGACCGCGAGGGGTGCGTTCACCCACGGAGACGGTAGGACTGATCTAATGGGAGCTCACCAAGGCCAGCTGGAATGGGACTGAACGAGCATGTTATCAAATCGCACTCTCTGATTGTGGCTGACAATGAGGGCGGACTGAGAAGCCAATGATAATGACACCGGATTTGGATTCTACTGCATGTACTGGCTTTTTGGGAGCCTAATCTGTTTGGATGCACACCTTCCTAGACCTGGATGGAGGGGGGAGGGCCTTGGATTTTCCACAGGGCAGGGCACCCTGACTTCTCTTAGGACTGGAGAGCGAGGGGGAGAGGGAGGGGCGTAGTGGCAGGGAAATGGGAAGATGGGAGGAGGTGGAAAATTTTAATTAATAAATAAAAAATAAAAAAATAAAAATAAACACTAATGACAGCTTATGCTGGAGAGGATACAGAGTGAGGAGAACACTCCTCCATTGTTGGTGGGAGTGCAAACTTGTACAGCCACTGTGGAAATCAATATAGTGGTTTCTCAAAAAATTGGAAATCAATCTACCTCAAGACCCAGCAACACCACTCTTGGGCATATACCCAAAGGATGCACACTCATAGCACAAGGACATTTACTCAACTATGCTCATAGCAACATTATTCATAATAGGCAGGACCTGGAAACAATATAGATACCCCTCAACCGAAAAAGGGATGAAGAAAATGTGGTACATTTACACAATGGAGTACTACTCAGCAGCAAAAAAGAAAGAATAGAAAAAAGAAAGAAAATCACATCTTGAAATTTGCAGGCAAATGAATGGAACTAAAAAAAAAATTCTAAATGATGTAATCCAGACCCAGAAACACAAACATAGTATGTACTCACTCATAATTGGATACTAGATAGAAAACAAAGGATAATCAGCCTATAGTGCAGGACCCCAGAGTAGCTAGGTAACAAGGAAGACCCTAAGAGAGACATACATGGATCCCCTGGGACAGGAAAATAGCCAAGATTTCCTGAGAAAATTGGGAGTGTGGGAGGGGGAGAAGGGAAGGGAGAAGAATATGAGGGAACAGGATGACTGAGACAGGGAAAGGATAGAGAAGGAGAGCAAAGGAAGAGATGTCTTAATAGAGAGAACCATTATGGGGCTAGCAAGAAACCTGACACTAGAGAAATTCCCAGGAATCCACAAGGATGACCCCAGCTAAGACTCTAAGCAACAGTGAAGAAGCCTAAACTGGCCTTCTACTGTACTCAGATTGATGACTACTTTAATTGTCATCATAGAACCTTTATCCATCAACTGTTAGAAGAAGATGCAGAGATCCACAGCTAAGCACTGGGTCAAGCATCCAGAGTCCAGGCGAATAGAGGGAGGAGCAGTAATATGAACAAAGGGGTTAAGACCACAATGGGTAAACCCACAGAAATAGCTGACCTTAGCTAGTGGGGGCTCACTGACCCTGGACTGACTGCTGGGGAGCCTGATAGAACCAAACTAGGCCCCATGAATGTTGGTGACAGTTATATGGCTTGGGAAGTCTGTAGAACCACTGACAGGGGGACCAGGACTCATCCTTAGTGCTTGAACAGACTATTTGGAAGCCATTCTTTCTGAAGGGATACCTTGCTCACCCTTGATATAGGGGGGAGGGCCTGGTCCCACCTCAAAGTTATGTGCCAGACTTTGTTGATTCCCCATGGAAATCCTTACCCTCTCTGAAGAATGGGTGGTGGGGCGGGTGGTTGGGTGGGGTGGGGGGGAACATGCGGGAATGGGAGGAGGGGAGGGAGTGGGAATTGGGATTGGTATGTAAAATAAAACCAACTAAGCAGGGAGTAGAGCAAACCTAAGAGCAAGCTGGAATGCAATGTTTCTTTTTTTATTTTAAAGACTTATTTTCTCTGAATGAGTGTTTTATTCATATAATATCTGCGTACCATATTTCTGCTAGGTACTCAGGTAGTGTGAAGAGGGTGTCAAAGCCCTTGTCATTGGAACTGTGGATGGTTGTGAGTTGCATGTGGGTGCTGGGAAGAGCCAGGTCCTCTAGAAGAGCAGTCATTGCTTTTAACCATTGAGCCATTTCTTATAGTGGCATTTCAATTGTAATTTAATAAATAAAGACTGCCTGAAGATCTGAGAGTAAAACAGTCCCACTGGTCAGCCTTACAGACCAGGTTATGGTAACACACACCTTTAATCCCAGTAGCCACACTAGTTGCCATAGAAATAGGGTAGTGCATGCCTTTAATTCCAGCACTAGAAAGGAATATAAGACAGTGGGGAGTTAGCTCTGAGATACAGTCTCTTCTGAGATTCCTGGAAGCAGAATCGCCATTTCAGACTGAGGTTGAGGTAAGAGCCAGTGGCTGGCTGTTTTGCTTTTCAGATCTTCAGGTTGAACCCAAATTTCTCTCTCTGAGTTTTTATTAATCATGCTTCAATTTCTGCAACTATTCTTCACAATTTCTACTTTCAGTTCCTGCCCTGACTTCCCTTGACAATGGAGGGTAACCTGTATGATGAAATAAACACTTTTCTCCACAAAGCTGCTTTTGTTTGAAATATATTTAACATGGCAACAAAAAAAACCAGAGTAGAATATACAGAATGAATATACAGAAAATAAGATTTTTTAAAAATGTCAATTCATTATAACTCTCTTTAAAGCCTGCATTGTATGTTCAAGGGTTAAAATTGCAAAGAATGGACAGCTTCCACCAGCCAATGTCTGAGTGGATGGAAGGAAGTCAGATCTGGTTGATCCTTTTAGGGAGGAAGGATGCTCTTTACAAACAGTGTTAATCATCTTCTCTCTTTCAGTGTCCCTAAGGACCTTATCACAATGTTACACCAAGATTAATCTCATCAGGCTGGGAATGTCCGCCATGTTTGTGGTGCTTATGGTGGTCTTCCTGGTTGAAGCCTGGTACAGCCAGAGGGTGTCACCAAGCAGACCCAGGTAAAAATAATTGAGGTTTTTCCCTATTTCATGACCATTGGGTAGTTATGAGTTGTGCGACCATTAAATTAATGGAGCTATAACAGAGAAATAAAAATGGCCAGGTGTTATGGTGAATGCCTTTAATCCCAGCATTCAGGGTCAGAGACAAGTGGATCTCTGAATTCCAGATCAGACTGGTCTACATAGAGAGTTACAGATCAGTCAAGGCTACACTGTGAGACCTTGTCATCAAAACCAAAAACAAGTAACACATAATAAAAACAATAGAAAAAGAAATAACAAATGATTTTATATTTAATTTCTGTTAATTATACATTAATCAATTTGGGAAAAAGAACAAAATAATTAATTTTATATTAAGCAGTTGCACTAATAATTAAATGCTTAGCACAAAGGTGCTAATTTACTTACTTATGAAAAGTTTACTTTTTTATAGGAAATTTCCATTATCTATTGAAGTTTCCGCATTGTAGTTTCTATCATTGTAAGAAACAATCTGAACATCTGGGATTAGTGTAGAGAATTCTCATAATTTTCCACAGCGGCACTGATGTCATTCTATGTGTAGTAGATTTTTTTTAACCATGTTGCATTGTCCGGTTTATTTAGACATAAGCATATTTAACATATCTAGATTAGTAAGCAATACAATGTCTATTCCCATTAAATGTCTGCTGAGGCCTCAAATTTGTAAAAAAGAAAATTCCCCACAGGATGGAGAGATGGCTCAGTGATTAAGGGATTCCTGATTTGCTCTTCAAGAAGAGATGAGTTTAGTTTCCAGAGTCAACAAAGGCTAGTTCACAACCACATGTGACATCAGCCCCAAGGGGCCTAATGCCCTCTTTTTGCCTCTGCAGTCCCCCACCCAACATGCACATACCTGCTCTACCCACACACGTTTTTTAAAACATGAAACCTATCTTATTTAAAAGCACCTTCTACCGGCTGGAAAGAATGGCTCAGTGGTTAAGAACACTTGCTGCTCTTCCCAAGGTTCTGAGTTCAATTTTCAGCAACCACATGGTGGCTCGCAAACATCTGTAATGAGGTCTAGTGCCCTCTTCTGGCCTCCAAAAATATATGCAGGCAGGAATATTGTATATATAATAAATAAGTAAAGTTTTTTTTTTAAAGCACCTTCTACCTACTGCAGCTTTCAGTCACCTCAAGTTTGTAGTGATGGGAAGTGGGGAAGGGGACACCCAGAGTAGAACCCATGTTTTCAGACCATACATAGTTAATAATTTTGGAACAGTCAACATGACTTAGTGGCTAAAGGCACTTGTTGCTGAGCCTGACAACTTGAGTTTGGTCCCTAGAATCCACGTGGTAGGAGAGAGCTGAGTCCCACAAGTTATCCCCTTACCTCCCCACATGTGGCCACACACATACACACACACATGCACAAGAAACAAATAAAATATAATAAAAAGTTAATGTTTCTCAGCCGAATTCAGGTCTAATCTTCTTTCTCCACAGTCCCTGAAGGACCCCAGGGCCACTATGAATCCTTGGTCAAGGTGGACAAGCAGCTCTTCAGGTTTCTGTGACGCCTGCACTGACAAGTCTCTGAGAGCTATCCAGGGATGGGATGGCAGCTCTGTCTCTTCATCTTTTGAATGGCGTAGAGGACAGAACTTGGCACAGGTGCACATGGGATACTTCGCTGATTTACAATTGCTGCACCGAAACTACAATCCTATTTCTCCCTAAGGATGGGCGTGCTGCCTAGAACATAAACCAAAGCCATGTACTATGAATCTGTTTCTGTGCACAAGATTATGTCAGTACATGATCTATAAGGCTTTATTTTTTTCATTTCTTTAGATGTGTTTTGTTTACCTTCTCAGGTATCCTTGGCTCTGTGTATGCAGTATGCAAATTATGTACATGTACTTTTATGGAATATGCATTACATGTATCTTATTTACAATAAATTTTAATGCTTCTGATAAGTTATTGAGTTGTTTTGTGTATGTGCACATGTGTACTTATGCATGCATGTGTGCATGTGAAGGCCAGTATTATGTGTCTTTTCTTTATCACTACATCATGTTTTAAAAGATTTATTTTTATTTATTTATTGTGTGACATATGTGCAGATGCCCACTGTGACCATAAGAGAGTATCAGATCCCCTGGAGTTAGAATTACAGGCCGCTGTAAGCTGTCTGATAATGGGTCCTGGAAACTGAACCTGGGTCTCCTGGAAAACAGTCAGTACTCTCACCCACTAAGCCATATCTCTCTTACTCTTCATCCCTCCATCCTGGTTTTGAAGCAGGGTCTCTCACTGAACCTGAAGTTCACTGATTTGCCTAGACTATCTAGACACAAAGCCCCAGAGATCTTCCTGTCTCCCTCTCCCCAGTAGGGGATTACTGGGACATGTTGGTAGATCTGACTTCTTACGTGGGTACTAGAGATAACAACTCAGGTCCTCCCCACAGTCAAAGGAGAGAGAGCCCAAGTTGAAGATTTCCATTGGGTTCCTCCACTTCAAACTCTAGGAATCCAGCAGAAGAGGGAGGAGGAATTGTGGGATCCAGAGGGGTCATGAACACCATGACAGTATGCCCTGCAGAATCAACTAAGCAGTGCTCATGGGGGCTCACAAAGCACAAAGCCACAATCTCTGAGTCTGCATGAATCTGTGCTAAGTCCTCTGCATATGTGTTATGGTTGTTGTCTTGGTGTTTTGGGGAGAATCCTGACAGCGGAAGTTGGGGTGTTGCTGGCTATTATCTGCTCTTAGGACCCTTTTTCTCCTACTGGGTTGCCTTGCCCAGCCTTGATGTCAGGGTTTGTGTCTACTCTTATTGGATGTTGTGTCGCACAAGGTCTCTGGGAGGCCTGCTGTTTTCTGAAGGAAGATGGGAGTGGAGTGCTTCTGCAGCAGGTGAGACGGGGTCAGAGGACTGGGAAGTAGTGATTGAAATGTGCTCCATGAGAAAAGAATAAAATTAAAATTAAAAAGACTAAGGTCCTCATACTTGCATAGTAAGTATTTTACTGGCTCTACCATATCCTTAGCCCCCTTTTAGTTATTTTATTTACCTTTTTTACTTTGAGTTATAAGTAAATCAGAGGGCTTTAAACTGGAAGGCTGTCAGTCCTGCCTAACAGAAAACCATATGTAGGGACTGGAGAGATGGTTTAATTCTTTGAGCAATGTTGCTCTTTTGTAGGACCCAGGTTTAGTTTCCAGTATTCAAACACTGGCTCAGAATCATCTATAACTTCAGTTCCAAGAGATCTAACAATATCTCTCATATCCACAGGTACCAGGCATACACATGGTGTACAGACATACATGCAGGCACTCCCTGTTCATGCCAGACATTCTAAGTAGCTTGATCTTGTACAGATCGCCATAGGTGCTGTGAGTCTGTGCATACATGGAACAGCCCAGAAGGCAGCACTTGAAAGGTCTCCTTCCATCCACAGGTACTGCATTTACATCTTCTCTGCCCCCTCCTCCTTGATGTTGCCTGTGTCCCATCTTGATCTCCAGGTCTGGCACTGTCATGCGTCTACAATCCTCATAGTCAGATACTCCTGGACATGAAGCTGCTGCTTGCTTACTTTCAGGATGAAGAACCCCAGGCCTCAAGCTGAAGAAGCCCATGGAGTGACTTATGTATGGGACGCCAAAGTTATGAGTGAGTTATGAATGAATTATGAGTGAGAACACTCCCATCACACCAACCAGTCTCACAACGCACAAGTCTGCTCAGTTCTGAAGTAGAGGAAGAGCTGGAGCCTGAAGGAAGGCATCAGATGATGGAACAGGAGTGGCACAGAAGCCACACTGGGGTTCCCTTTCTTGAAATCTCCAATGAAGATGTATTTCATTCCTGTAAAAAAAAAATTATTGGGCTGGAGAGATGGCTCACAGGTTAAGAGCACTGGCTATTTTCCAGAGGTCCTGAGTTCAATTCCCAGCAACCAGGTGATAGCTCACAACCATCTATAATGAGACTTGGTGCCCTCTTCTGGTGTACAGGCATACATGCAGAAAGAACACTATAATAAATCAAAAAGTCATAAAAATATAGAAAAAATTTATTTATTTACTTTCCTACTTGCATTTTCTTTTATTTTTACTTATCTACTTTTAAAGAAAGATTTTTATTTTTAAGTATGTGTATTGTACAGGACTAGTCTTTGAGCTGAACAGCCGCTATCTTTATGAGTTCAACAACAACAAAAAAATCATAACATCGGGGCTTGGTGACTGTTGACTTCCCACCATAGAAAGGGAGTTTGGAGGATCATGACACCCTTGCTTGATCATGCAGCCACTCCTGAAAACTAGTTTTTATGCAATTCTGTCTTAATTGCATGTGGCTTTAGTGGGGTCTAGAAGTATATAGGTTATGAAGCATTATTGAGGAGCACTATCAGGGAGTCATCACCATGCTGGGTGAAAACCTCACAGTGTGGCTGCTTTAAAGTCACCCATGCTCCTGTCCATACCTCCTCACCCTTGTTCTGTAAACTTAACAAACACATTGGCTCCCGATGATTAATGGTTCTCAACCTTCCAAATTCCGAGACCCTTTAATAGAGTTTTTCATGTTGTGGTTACTCCTAAAGTTATTTTCGTTTCTACTTCACACCTGTAATTTCGCTACTGTTGTAACTGTTATTTAATATCTGATATGTAAGATATCTGACATGTGACCCACTAAAGGTGTCTGCAACTACACATTGAGAACCACTGCCTTAGCGTGAACTGTGATGGAATAGTACTTCAGTGAGTTGTTGAGTGCTGAAGAGGAGCGGTACATATTGTTTACATCTTTTTCAGAGAAGGAATTTTAGCGACAATCTGTATGTGTATGTGACTGTGTGTAGGTATGTGCACATGAGTGTAGGTGTGCACAGTTGCTAGAAAAGGGTAGCACATCCCCTAGACCTAGAGTTAAAGATTTTAAGCTACTCTAGGTACGTGCTAGGAATTGGACTCAGCTCCTCTCTAAGAGCCTTGGGTGCCCTTAAGGGCTAAGTAAAGGTTATGGGATTACGACCATACTCAGATTATGCTGAGCAGTAGACCTAGGGCCTTGTGCTTTCTAGGCAAGCACTCTACCTACTAAGCACTCTACAGTCATACCCTAAATTTTTTTAATTAGTGATATCATTTACAAAGTACAACACACAAATCTTAGGATACACTTTAGAGACTTCATAACTCTCTAGCTAGCTTGCTATGTTTGTCAGTTGGCTTTTTGTTTCTGTAATAAATGCTCAAGATAAATCAACTTATAATTATAAAAATTTGTTTTCACTCATGGTTTTTGAGATTTCAGTCTGATTGGTTGGTATCACTCTTTGGGGCCTCTGTTGAGACAGCTTATCACTTCAGAAATAGACTGTAAAGAAATGTTACTTTCCTTGTGGGTGGGAGGAAACAGAGAAGGAAACAGAGGAACTAGGCTATTACCGTCTTCTTCAAGAACACATTCTCAGAGAGTCAAGATCTTCATATGACCGTACGTTTAAATGTTCCTGACCACTTCAGCAGGAAGTGGCACCTCCATATCCAAACTGTGACACTGTATGACTTCTATGTCTATCTGTCCAGCCAGCCAGCCAGCCATTCTATCATCTAGCTAGCTAGCTAACACCTATCTATTACATCCAGATATCTATATATCTATCATCTCTCATGCTTATTATGTAGTTAGGAGCTCTCTTTATCCTGACTTGGTGAACAAATTATATAGGTAAAAACTAAATGATTTTCAGTACTTCTAAAAGTTACCTTGGCACTCTCTCCACTCAGCTTCTACTTCCTCTTAGATAACTCATTCTGGATTTTCCCATGACTGCATTGTTCCTGTTGTTGACCTTTGTACAGCTAGAGTTGTACCACATGCATTCTTTATGTTCAGATCCTTTCTACTCCGTGTTTCTTCAGACACTTCATGATTGTACATATATGTTGTTCTTTTTGAAGCCTGAGATCATTCTATTATACAGTTATAACATGATTTATTTATCATTCTCTTGGACTCCTTCAAGTTTGATCTTTTTTGGATAATAATACCAAGATCATTCCTTTTCTGGATTGTTTTGGGGATGCTAATTGAGATGAGACTCGGTGCCTCATGCATTCCAGACAAGCACTATACTCCTGACCCATAGTCCGAATCTTGCCATGAGCATCTTCATGTGTTCAGAGGCTTCCTTGATTGAAAAACTTTCCCCAGAACCCAGGAGATGGAAACGGGGATAAAATGTTCAAGGTCATCTTCATCAACACGGTAAGGTTGGGGCAGGCCTGGACTGCTTATTGAGACCCAATGTCAAAACAACAACAAAAATTAAGCTAAACAAAATTCTTACACAAAAACCCAAATCAAATAAAAATATAATCTTTATGAGTAATACTCATGTACTTGAGCTGGAAAAACATTCTGGGTTTGTGGCTGTGACTTGGTTGGTAGGGTGCTTGTCTAGCAAACACAAAGATCTAACAAACAATTCCCAGCACCCTAAGCCATATGTACACATGATCATAATCCCAGAGTTCAGGAGGTAAACATAGAAGGATCTGAAGTTCAAGATCACCTACAGTTACATGGTAATTGAGGCTTGTGGGCTATACCACATCTTGTCTTAAATATAAAGCAAAATAAAATATATAAAAAGAAAGAATCTGTCTTGTTCTGTGAACCTTCTTAAGTAACGAGAGGCTTAGTCACCTCTATTATGAAAGGTGTATTGGCCAACTTTTAGTGACCACCATATCTGCCTCTAAATTTACATAAATCTCAGTACTGACATGCTTACGATATCTCAGCAGGAATCTGGCAAGCTCAGTGTTAGACATAAGTAAGACCTGAAAGTTAACTGAGCCAGAAGTGGTTAAGTGAGTCAAGTCTCTGAAGAGTTTATAGGAACATGTTGCAATAGATGCCATCTACACATTTCCTGAAAGAGGATGTGGGAGGAAGGAACTGAGCAGTGGGCTCAAAACCAGTCCTGCCTACTCACCGAGATTAGAGAGACTGCACTACCCTGGTCCTATTCTTCTGCTGACCGTAGACCTTTGTAGCAGCTGCTGAGCCACCATGATTCCTAGGCTTCTTTCCCTTCTCTGCCTCTGTAAGTTGTTCTGGGTTGTCCATGCCATCTCCAGGAAATTATAAAAGTGGCGAGATGCTTTTGATGGGGATTAAAGCTAGATCTCATACCAGATCAGTGTCCTGAGTGTATAGAATGAACCAGGAATCTCATTGTACATGTTAGGACAAAACCAATGCTCAAAATGTAGTAGAAGTAGATGGGGAAATTAGGGGAAGGGGATGTAGCTGTGTTGGAAGAATGCTTGCTCACCCAGTGAGTGTGAAGCCCTGGGTTCCAGCCTCAGTAGTATAAAATAATTGTAGTGACACAAATCTGTCATCCCAGTACATGGAAGGTGGAGAGAGGCAGATCTTATGTTGAAGGACATTTTCAGCTAAGTAGAGATTTCAAGGCCAACCTGGACTGCTTAAGATCACACACACACACACACACACACACACACACACACACACACACACACAGAGAGAGAGAGAGAGAGAGAGAGAGAGAGAGAGAGAGAGAGAGAGAAGACAGAACATAGATAAAATGTAAAGGAATCAAAACTGACAAGTTCTAATCTGCTGTTTCTAGCCAAGGTTGGGTCAGCAGCAACTATTTCTTTTCTGCGATGCCAGCTTGTTGTGACGAGACACATCAGAGACCAACCTCCAAAAGAACTTCTTGCTTATTATATTTAAATTATTTTGAGTCAGACTTTTACTATGCAACCCTGCATGACCTGAAACTTAGTACCTAGACTAGACTGGCCTTGAACTCACAGAGATCCTCCTCTCTACACTCTCAAATGGTAACAATAACTGCAATAGGTGATAAAGAACTTCTAATCAGGTTGCAGTGGCACACACCTGCAATCCCAGCTTTGTAGAAGTGGAGGCAGGGCCATCAAAAAATTCAAAGCCATCCACTTATATAGTGAATTTGAGTCTGTCTGGGTTACATAAGACACTATAAGAAATAATAATAAACCAGGTATGGTGGGACATCTTTAATCCCAGTACTGAGAGCAGGAGACAGCTGGGTGTCTGTCTGATCTACAGAATAAGGTCCAGGACAGCCAGGATACACAGGGAAATCCTGTCTCTAAACACCAAAAAGAAGATAAACAAGCATGAGCTCAGGTCCCACAACTTCTTCCATTGAACTCAGAGTGTCTTTCCCTAATTCATTATATTTTCATTTTTCTTTAATTTATAGCATGTGTGCATATGTGTGTGTACATGTATGTGCACATATATACAACCTATTTAGTTCATTTACCTTTAATCATGTGGATATGTGTCCATGACTGACCACGTGGCATTGGACAACCTCTGTGGGAGCTCGTTCCTGGAGGGGACTGATTCTCCTCTCAGCATCCATTCTCCATCTGTAGCTCTTCATATAGGGGTCAAACAATGTGGAGGTATGATGGTTTTAACTATAGATATATTTTATTACATTGATTTATTTGTGTACATTGTAAATAAGTTGTGTGCTTGTATGTGTGTTTGCATGGCCTCATCTATGTGTGAGGATGTGCATGAATGTGTGGAGGCAAGAGGTCAACCTCACACGTTTTTCTTCACTGGCTATCCATGTTGTTTTTTGAGACAAGGTCTCTTTTTGGTCTGAGGCTCACCAGCTTGGCTAGGCTGGCTGGTCACTGAGCTCAAAGGATCCTCCTGTATCCACCTTCCCAGCACTGGGGTTACAAACACACACTACCACAGTGATCTTTTTCACATGGGTGTTGGGCATCAAACTTGCTTTTATGGAGAGATTTACTGACAGAACCATTTCCTGAACCTCCCTCCACAGGGTCTTTTTTTCTCTGTTTGTTTTGAGACAGGATCTCTCTATGCAATCCTGGCTGTCCTTGAACTCACTATGTATACCAAACTGGACTCAAACTCACTGAGGTCCTCTTTCTTCTGACTCCTGAGTGCTGTAATTAAGGGCATGCACCACCACGCCCAGCTTACTCCTCAGGTCCTTGATACCATTAGGAGTAGGCTAACTTCTTATCTCTCCAGTGTCCTAAAGGCCCCTTCCCTGGAGGAGAGGTAATGATCCAATGGGACCCATGTCCCAGTAGGATGGTGACTACGTGAAGCTTGGGGATATGAATGAGAATTGGAAGGGTTTGTGGGGGCTTGTCGAACTAAGATGGAACCCTTGGAGTGAGATCAACTAAGTGATAATGACCAAACTCAGATATAAGCTGAAGCTACAGCACAGATGAGGGATCATGCAGCTCCTCAAAGGGAGACACCAGTGATAAGATGACAGTGCTCTCAGAGTACCCCTCTGGACCAATGAGGGTGACTAGGTGACTCCAGGCAGGAACTTGTTCCTCATGTTTAATTCTTTTCTAGGGCTGTGTGTTGGGCAAACAGACATTCCTGGCAATGGTAAGTAGGTCTTCAGGCAAACTCTCCTTGAGTCTTCTCCCACTTTTCTTTTATGTCTCTGTGTGTGTTCATGTTCATACACGAATACACGTGCGTGTGTAGAAGTCAGAGGTCAACAACTGTAGTTTTTTCCGCTGTCACAGCAGTACAGGGCTCCAAAGAAAGCCACGGAGTCGGAGTACCATGACGTTTTTATCTGAGAGGTAAGGGAAAAGACTCTCTCTCTCTCTCTCTCTCTCTCTCTCTCTCTCTCTCTCTCCTGATGATTTCCTTTTTATTCTATCACTGTATTCTCTTCTCTACAGCTTATATAAGTCAACAAAGTCTTTCAGGCAATATAGGAATTACAGTGTGGTTGCATTCTATTTTTCAAGTGAATGATTATAATGAATAATGGTAAAAACGAGTTTTTCATCTCTTTTGTGACTAAAAGAGAGCATCCCAAGGACTCACATACATTTATAAGTAACTTGTTATAGATTGACAGTGTGAGCAAGCAGGGGATGTTTTCTCCCAATCTTTTACTGGCAGGCTGTGTATTGTGGTTACAAAGAGAGAATCAATCACTTCATTATTTATCTTGAAAGGCAATCCTATGAAGAATCATAAACCTAAACTGTTATACATGAAAAACATCAGTCAGCTCTACTTTAAGTCCTTAGGTTGCATACCTACTTATTAATAGTTTCTTATGTCAGGAGATTGAGGGCAAAAGTGGGTACGAGAAATTAATCATCACCTGTGATCATCAGTCAGTCCTAGCACAGAAAATATGTCAGCGAGTAACAATTGGGCTGCTCTGTAGTTTTGACCCTAATCTAATGAATCTGTAACTCAGCTATGTATCCCTGTGAACTTTAGGTTGTTTTCTAGGGTTTTCCAGCACATCTAACTTAACTTGAGCTTATTTTAAGGCTTTGTTTCAGCTATGATGCACACTGAAAACTGTGTATGCATCTTTCAACATTAAGATAAAAAGAATTCGAGCCAGCCAGGCCCTTGGAACTCTATTGTTTTCCATAACCTGAACTATGAGCTCTGCAGCTCTTTAGGTAAAACTCATAGGCCCTAGCTGTATAACACTTTCCTGTATTTATTTTTAATCACCAAAACTTTATTTCATCTAACATTATCATTATCAACTAGACACAAAATTTTATTAACACAAAATCATCTCCATAATAATCCACAGGTAAGAATGCTCAGTAGAACAGGATGTTTCCATGAGATAGACACACTACATTATAGGCAGTGGGACCCCCCACAGTCACAGACAACATGCTAGACACTAGAGAAAGATGACAGTGGCAAACACATAAAGGCACAGCAGAAGAAAAAGACATTCTGGAGACTGTTCTCGGGGCCTTGCCTATCTGAGATTCACCCATGGGGATTTGCCTTCTCGTGGACTGACACCTCAAACTTCCATTACCACCTGCTGCACCTTTAACATGGTCACAAGCAAGTGTATTTTCCCAGGAGTCCTCATCCTTTTTATTTTATCTCATTTTATTATGTGGCATGTTGTAAATCTTTCTTTCTTTCTCTTTTTCTATGAGGCAAGTTCTTTCATTGGACCTGGGGCATGCCAATTAGGGTAGACTAGCTGACCAGGAAGCCCTAGAGGCCCATCTGTCTCCACTTCCTCAGCAATAGGATTGCAAGTATACACTACCAAAGCCCAATTTCTATGCAGAGGCCAGGATTCCAACTTGGGTACTCATGCTTGGATAACAAGCACTTTACTAATCGAACTACCTCCGTAGAACTTTCTTGTACACAGAAGTTTCTATCCTGCCTATTTCCACAGCTATTCGGTACCAAATAAACATACAGAGGCTTATATTAATTATAAACTATTTGGCCTATTAGTTCAGGCATAACTAGCTCTTACAACTTAAATTCTTGTATATGCTTAGCCTCACTTTTATCAATGAGGCATTCTCATCTTGCTTCCTCTGTATCTGGTGGTGACTGCATCTCTGCCTTCCTCTTCCCATAATTCTCCTCATCTGGTTGCCCTGCCTATACTTCCTGACTGACTGACTATAGGTCAATCAGCATTTTATTAAACCAATGTGAGTGACAAACCTTTACAGTATACAAGAGCTGTATCCCACAGTACTCTCTCCTTTGCTACAAAAAAGAGGAGGGAGGAGCTCTGAGAGCAGGTAAGTATGTCTGATGCAGCCCTGGGCTCTGTTTGCTTCCAGGGCCCCCTCCCAAGCCCAGCCTCAGCGCTTGGCCCAGTTCAGTGATTCCCACCAAAAGCAGTGTAACAATGCAATGTAAGAGCCCCACCCCAAGTGAATTCTTCATCCTCAAAAAGGAAGGGCTTGTTTTTGATTCTAAGAAGCCAAATGATTTGACAGCGATGACTGAGTTTCATATCCCTGAGCTACAACAGAATGATGGAGGACACTACACCTGTGAATCCTATCGCAATGGCATATCATCACAGCCCAGTGATGCCCTTCTCCTATTGGTCACAGGTGAGGAGAGCTTGTCTCAGGGAGATATGTGGTATCTTCAGAGAGAGGTGGAGTGAGGGACTGGAAGAAGGGAGGAAGAAGAGGGGCTGGATCTCCAGAACAAAGGATAAAGGAGCAGGAATGTGGCTCCACCTAGGCATTGTGAAAGAGAAAAATCTCTGTCCTAGAGCCACAGTGCACAGTGAGAGGCATGAGGCTCATGAGCTTGCCGCCACAGGAACAAGAATTAAACAAAAAAACAAATAAACAAAAACCTTATCAGGCTGTGGTGCAAACGTTTTTTATCCCAGCACTAGAGAGGCAGAGGCAGGTGGGATCTCTGTGAGTTTGAGGCCAGCCTGGTCTACAGAGCGAGTTCCAGAACAACAAGGGCTACAAAGAGAAACCCTGTCTCAAAAAACCAAAAGGAATAACACCACCAACAACAAAAAACAAGAATGTGCATGAGGCCAACAGTTTCTTCCCTTGCACTCAGAGCCTCTTTCTTGTCCAGGGTACTTGCCTAAACCTTCCCTCCAAGCCTACCACTGGGGCACAGTGGCTGCGGGAAGCAGGGTGACGCTGCAGTGCCAGAAGGCAGGCCGTGTGCTCGGACCCATGAGCTTTGCCTTGCTGAAGGAGGGACGCTCATCTCCTGTGCAGACGAGGAGCTCCGTGGGAACGGTGCTAGACTTCTCTCTTCAGAATGTGACAGCCAGAGACTCGGGGAAATACAGCTGTGTGTACTACCAGCCAAAGGCTCGCTATCGGGCCTCAGCCCCCAGCAATCCCCTTGAGATCTCCGTGACAGGTAAGGTTTGCTATTATTTTCTGAACACTTCTATCTGTCTTTGTGATGTGGGAGGGAGTAGTTAGCATACATGTTTTATTTAGTTATGCAAATATTTATATTTTGTTGATTACTATTATTATTGTTTTGAGACAGAATCTTACTATATAGCCCAGCTGGCCTTGTAACTCACTATGTAGACCAGGCTAGCCTCAAATTGACAGAAATCTGTCTGCCTTCGTCTCTGAATGCCAGGACTAAAGGGATGCACTGCTACTCTGGCTTCTTGTTATTTTAATTAGTCATTTGGATCACTATAAAGTTAATCTTAGTGGGGTATAGAATCACTAAAAAAAAAAAAATCTCTGGGCTTGTCCATGAAGTCCATCTAGACAAGGTTAACTAAGGTAGGAAGACTCATCCAAAATACAGCTGATGCCATCAATGGACTTTGATCCCAGACTAAACAAAAAGGCTACAGTGAACTGAGCCCCAGTCTCTCTCTCTCTCTCTCTCTCTCTCTCTCTCTCTCTCTCTCTCTCT